GGAATTTTGAACAACCGCCATATGCACCAGCCCCCCAGATGAGGATTTGAGTCTATATATGTAGTGTTATATACCGTCAGTTGTTTGCAGCACGTGTGGTTGTTCTGCAGTGCTTCTGAACACTTGACAGCTGGAGCGCTCACCGGCACAGCCGATGAAAACCCGTAACATCACAACGAGGCTGAAAGTGTTTGAGTAGCTGATGTAGCCCAGAGTAGATGTGGTAGTTTCCCAAGATAGGGGGACCCTAATATAGACTATCCTTCTCATTATGGGGATTACATGGAAGCAAGCCCGTCTTCTGTATCCCGGCGTAGATATGCTGCAAGTTCCTGGCATAGTTAGAGTTAGAGCCTGTGAGGTCAGAACATCCTTCCAGCGTGCCATGCTGTAGTGATCTGGGAGCTGCTCACAATTAGGGTTTTTCAATATTAGGGCTCCCTTTTTTGAGGGTTGCATAATGAAGACTGTCCCAACGGACCGCTGAACAGGTACCCCAGAATCCCTGTGTAACATGCACATGGAGGGGCAGGAGACAGAAGTCTTGCACATTTTGAGGAACCAGCTTAAGGCTGAACGCCTGTCTCTTAATTAAGCAGCCCACTTTTGTCTAGCTTTGAGTGATGTGCAGTGGTGGATTCGTCATTTACTGCAGTTCCTGCTTCAGATGAATTGTGTCTTGGCCATCGGCGCTGACACGGTGACCTGTCCGTACGCAAGCTTTGAAACACCACGCCCTATACATCCCTACGTATCCCTATTAAACCGCTTAAATCGTGGGTTCCCTCACCCCCACACCCCTTTGCTACCCCCAAAGGTTCCCGTTAATGGTCCTTACTTAGGCCTAATTATCTCCAAGCCCCAAGTATGATTTACAGATACCCTAAAATCCTAAGCCCCAAACCTTAGAACCTGAAACCCTCAGTTTCCATGTCATTTGTCACTTGATGCTCCATAAGGCAAGCCCCTGCCTTACCTGTCCTTATAATCCCTTTATGCTCTTATAGCCCCACATGACCCTATTTCAGAACTTATAAAAACATATATGCTTCTACAATACAACTCTCTAGCCTATGTAGCAAGATATGACCCTGTAGAACCCTTATGTGCCCCTACACAACCTTATGTAACCCTGTATGACTTTGTCATGCTATATATCCCCATATAACCTAGTAACCCTACATATCCCCCTATTGCCCTACATATCCTTACGTAACACTCTGCAACCGGGGAGACCCCCATGCATCTTGATGTATCTTCATATAACTCCCTGCGCAACCCTATCTAGCCCTCCAGCTTTATATCTCCCTATATAATCCTATAGATTATGGATCCCTACATATCATCATAAATCCCTACATATCCTACATGACACCATAGATCCCCGCGTAACCCCATCAATCCCCATATTCCCCATACATGTTCCCATATTTGAAGCATGGAAGTGGCAGGCCTAGCAATGCCTGATGGCCATCCAGGCCTTTCTGATGCCACAGAAAAGGCGGAGGAGGCCTTTGGTAAGGGTTTCAGGTTTCCAGGAGGACGTGGAGATGAATGGGGGTCTCATTCATGAAGCCTAGGGAGATATGGTGATTATAAGCGCGTTATAGCAGTATGTATTAGGAATTACGCCCACATTTGGGGTTTGGTTTTCGGGTGCAGGGTTTAATGTTCAGGGTTTGCCTGCGCTTGCTTGTATCGTGGCCACTTGGGATTTTGTTTGTCGGGATCGTAGGGTGCTTAGCTTGTTCTGTGCTACCTGGGGTCTTCGGAGGCGTGTGCGTACCCCAACATAACCCTAATATAACCCTAATATAACTGTAATATAACCCTAATATAACCCTAGTAAAAACCCTAATATAACCCCTAATATAACCCCACAGCTTTTGAGATGCAAGTTGTTGAGTCGCCACAGGAGATTCCGAAAGCCCCGGAAGATGAGCACAGCAATGGCGCTTGGCGGTGGCTTGGCGCCGCGAAGTGCTTCAGGATGTAGAAGGATTACTTAAAGAGTAGTTGAGTAGACAAGGAGAATACACGAATGAGGTCTACATACAATATACTCTAGTGGTTTCCATTGTCTTTTCCATTATCCTTATATAGCCGTTATATAGGTCCTTAAGATGGATGCCCCTAAACCCTAAGACCTAAATCCCAGTACTTTCCATTTTGTTTTGGAAAGCGAGGCCGGTACCATTCGATGTTGGCCCAACGGGATAAGGGAAAAGAAAGTGGAAACTACTCTTCAGCTGTGGCATTCTGGGCAGGGTAGCAGCAGATCGCCCATCCGTTGTTGCATACTCCAAAGTTCCCTTGCATCTGAATGGCCATCAGACTGCAGTCAGGTTCCCCTCAGCGCAGCGGCTGCTCGCTATGGGTTCCGGCCTTCGTGCTATGTGGACATGAGGATGCCTTCTGAAAGGCAATCCTTTGATGTCCTGGTTTTAGAACAGCCGCAGCCAGGATAAGCCTGGGACTTGTAACCTGCGGCCCCGATTACACTACTTTGTGTTTTGCATTCTGCACCTCGTTGTATGAATTTGCTCAGCTTCGCTCGGCTTTTTGCATGGAGAACCACTTGCGACGACAAAGACTGTGATATGACAAGTAGATGTGCAATGCAACGCCAAATGGACCCGTGGTTCTGGAAAGTGGCTCGCATGGGTGGGACTCTTTCTGCTTTGCAACTATACAGCTGCAAAATTTGTTACAGCGCAGGGCTGGATTTGACCAGGAGCACCAAAGGGACGCCACTCCGTGTTGGTAGGAGTGATATCATCAAACTAGCCAGTGCAAGAGTTCAAAGTGAAGTCACCGTAAATTGAGACCCCCAGCCATGGTGCACCTGGAGCAGATGGTCCAGCCCGCGAGGAGCAGTAGGCGCTGACGAGCGGAGAATGCCCAGTGCAACCTATGGACCAATTGACTACGTACTGGTGTCGTCAGCACGAAGGATTTTAATGCACCAGACATGTGGCATTTTTCCGGGCTGACCACCACTTGCCCGCAAAGGCGGGCCGGGCGTTGTCGTAGGCATTTGAAGCTTATGCCATCTCACAGTGCGGAGAGCGTGGCGGAAAATTACCAGATGATATGCCTGTGCAGATAAGGACGGCGATTCGTTGAGCTGCATAGGGACAGATGGGTTCCTGTCCGCTCGAAACCAAGGAAGGGCGTGCACCACCTGATCTCTGCCAACGGCAATTGGGCTCAGCAGGCCTTTCAGGGGACAAGATAGTATGTGTTCAATAGCTGTGCCTGTCATATACTTGAGTTGGGATTGAATGCAGCAGTGGGGTCTTCATGACCTTGCACTGTGGTCGCTCAGCCTCAGGCTCATCAATGGGCGCAGCAAGCCATCCAGGACTCAGTGTTGGGAAGTGCTGAACTTGACGGTGTGTGGTTTCATCTCCTCGGTTCCAAGCAGGGTCAGGAAGATGCATTTAGCGAACAGGGGCCAAGGCGCATGCGCTCTTTCTGCTAGCCTCAGCTTTATGGCAAGCTATCCGCCCCGAAGTCGTAATGTCATAGAGACCCTCTTCTCAAGAGCTTAAAGCAGTCCTGATGGCACCATTGTGTTTCGTCGCAGATGCAGAGCGTCCTCCAAGAACAGTGCGCCAGACTGCTTCTTTTCGAGCTCCATGCCTGAACCAGTGTCTGTATCTTGCAGGCTGAACGATGTGCTAGATGTTTTAGCGGAAAGTTCTTGAATGGCCTCCGCGCTTTCACAGGCAAGAGCATTTGCGTATTCAATCATGTGCGCAGGGGAGAAGCAGTGTAGGTCTGAATGGTTCGTTGTTGTTTTCTGCCTGGCTTGGGCAAAACATGATTTCACTGCAGCGAGCCTCAATTTTCCATGTCTAGCTGCTAGCTATGTCCTACTTCAGGAATTGCAGGAAGCAAGGAGCTATGTGGCTTAGTGAAGTTTCTCTGTCATTTTCAAGCTCTGGGTCCTCGGCCCCTTGACAAAGTAATATTTCATCCATGCCAGATCCGCTGTTACTAGTATTAACGCGCAGTTGTATTGGACACGCATGGTTCGGGTGGACTGGGGCCCAAATTTCTTAAGGGCCTGAGTCTGCCGTATTATAGTATATCATGATATATTATGATGTATTATGATATATTATGGTACATTACGGTATATTATGGTGTATCATAGTATACTATGGTATATTATGGTATATAATGGTGACAAGCCCCTCTGGGATTGTGCTTGCCAAAGGCGGCTCGCGAATCTGGGCTGCACGTGGAATCCACAGGTGTCTTTCCTTGTGCGTGCTGGTGAAGGGCTCGGTAACTTTGTTCAAAGGTGCCCCAGACACACCAGGAAAAATACGAAAATTCGTATTCCAAGGACCCTCGGAGGCTTTGGGAAACCACCGAAATCTCAGGGTCGCAAAGAGAGTGATCATGGTCGCTTCCGGTGGTCTGCCACCTTGCATGCAGGGAACCAAAGTTTAGGTTCTGAATTGGTATGAGGTTTAGGAGGTGTATCTGAGCTATTTGCGGGCTGCTACTATAAAGCAGCATGTTGACGAGATTTTCAAGGTTTCAGCCTTGGTTCCTATGCTTTGGTCACTGAAGAGGCCATCAGCCATTTGGGGCATGGGCCCCTGGCAACACAGAATAGTCACACCAGGTGTTGTGACTATGAAATGGCTTCCATACCAGGAGCATCAACGACTGTGACCAAGTCCTTGGGCCCCTTGGTCTCTAATCTTGGTTTGGGGAGGGAAGCAGAAGCAACATCGTTTGCTCTTGTGTGGGTCGTTGCCTGTCCGAAGTTCTCATTCTTTGAGCGCATTGTTTCTGGACATGAATTACTCTTGTTGCCAGAGCTCTGTTTTCAGTACTGCCTTCATGGCGTGTGACCTTGCAGTTTGGCAGTCAGCTGTATGGTGGGTAGAGGGGTCGTGGTCTTATGTCCTGCTGTTGTTCTTGATCTTCCTTGGTAAGTGTTGAGCACCCACGGAAAAATTGCCTTGCGCTTGACCAAGTGCCTCCCCTCAGGTGCGACCAGGTTGTCACAGCTGTCGTTACTCTACTGGAGAGTACCGTGAACCCTCCAAGTATGCCGAAAGCCATGCGGAACTTGGAAATCAGCTGCTCGGCCAATCCTATTACAGCTCACAGTGTGCGAGAGCAAGCCTGGTCTGATTACCACGCCGCTGTTTGTCATACGGCTGCAAGATTGAGATGGAGCGGTAACGGCGGTATTATTTTGGCAACCCCCTTCTCTTTCCAAGAGGATAGGGTTTGCGGGTGCGAATTCTAAACCTCAGGAGATATAGTCCTGGCGCTGATGGTGGCAAATTAGGTATTGTGTTTCCTGGAAAATAAAGTCAGAAGTGACAAGATAACTAAGACAAAGCCCGGTTTTAGTGGGGATTCTTGCCCCGAGTTCATATATTTGGCGGTGGAATTCTGAGCCCCAACTAATGCCTGAGGGATGTTATATGAGGCTAGCATTAGTGTATGCTGGGTGAGACTGCCTTGACGAAGCCTCCCTGGAGCCAGCTGCAAGGCTGCGAGAAAGCCGGCATTTTGGTAGCTTGTCTACAAATATATGTCTACGCTATGTAGCCCAACGGTGGTCCTTTGGGCACTTGGCATTATCTAAGGGCATGCCATGCAACCATGCAAGGAGCCAGCGCGGACAGATGTGCAGAAGGCTGCCGTGTCGGCTGTCGAGGCCAGCCGCATGGGTGAGGTTGCCTGCTCTTTGCCTCCAACACCTATAGTCCCCCTTCAGTACATCGAATATGGCCTTGGGTTTATCATGATATATAATACCCCCACATCTACTTAAGGGGGACTAGACTGCCAGCCAGCCAGGTTTAGACCCGATGCCCCTCATGCGAAACATGTAGAGTTGGATTCGTGCCGCCCGAAGACTTGTGCACATTCTGTCCAATACATCGTCCGTGCATGTGCTCTGCGCCGCAGTGGTTGCAGTAGCGGGACTCGTAGCAACACAGCCGTGATAGTTGCACGAGTTTCCAGCAGGGAATCAGTGCAACTCAGGTCCCAATAAAGGCTATAATTTTAATGTTACACTGCGCGCATATGTGGTATCTTCAGTTTCTTCCAACTCACAGCCAGAACCATCTGCCGCTGCTTCCAAACTGGGTGGTGGCGCATTCCAGAGCTGGGCTGCGTTTCTTCCAGTACGGTGAGGCGGACGATTGGATGTAGTCTACAATGAAATGGCAAGGATGGGCTTGATATTCTACGGTTGTTCGGACAGGTTTTCGAAAATGCAGGCTTTCATGGACGGGGTCTGGATTGGGTCAGGTTTGGGCCATGGCTCTTTCTACACACCTAGTGCTTCTACGGCAAGTGCTTTGCTGCTAAGCATGTACGGTGTGATGGCATCGTGCCTGCAGTGTGGGAAAGCTCGGAGAACAGACACAAACCCTCAGGGCCGATCTTCCCAGACTAGTTGGTCCTGGCCTTTGTCATTGCCTTCCCTGGCGCAGCCGCAGGCTCCACCCGAGGCCCAGTTCGGGTTTAAGGGTTAAAGCGGAGAGTCTAGGTCTAGGTGTTTTGTTTTGCATTTGAGGGATTTGGGGTTCAGTTCCGGACTTTGAACTTCAGCCAAAATGAAGGGATACGGAACATTGCATTTGTGACTCCGAAGGTTTCAACGGCAGGATTTCAGACTTTGGTTGGTTTCAAGTTTACGATTTGTGCTGGATAATAAAAGGCCAAATTTCTGAAGGAAAGGCACTATATGAACACTGCCAATATGACAAAAGTTGCGTCAAGCAGAGGGCACAACAGCTAGCCCGGCATGACTGCTACGCCATGCTGAGCATTACCCAGGCCTCCATGGCTAGAATGTAAAACCCTTCTTTGCATGTCGATGTCCCGGGCTCGGGTTTAAAGGGCTCCAGATGTTCTGGCAAAAAGAAGGGTCGGCGAGCCTCGCCCAGAAGAGTTCATAAGGCCCAGAGAAA